AATCGTATCAAATTAGTAATAATCCAATAATACATCCACCGTTCACAGCTTGCGATAAAGACGAGATGTAGAACATATCGATTGGAGCAGGGCGGAGCTAGCGACATAGGGTCCCGCAACGAATACCTGGCGCCGGCCCAAATTGTTGGCAAATTGCCTCTGCCAGGGGTAGGAATCAATAGCGCCCACGATGAATCCCTATCAGGTTCTTGTCCGTCATTTCGGCATTTCTGCAAATTCCGCGGAATTTGCAGAAATGCGGTTCTTCAAATCGATGCGTATTCATTTCCTGTCTGCAGTTTCGGCATTTCCGCACAATACGGTAACTTCAGGGCTGATGCCGTTCGGACTCCAGCAACTTCGGCACCGAGCTCACGCTGTTGGATTGGAGCATGGCACACCGGCCCTTTAAACTTTTAACCATGGAAGGTGTAAGGCCGCGTTCATACATGATGCAGAAATGCGGAATATGCAGAACTGCGGAATTTGCAGAAAGGAAATATATACGTATCGATCTGAAAACTGCATTTCTTCAAATTCCGCGGAATTTGCCGACATGCAGAAATGACGGACAAAGAATTGATAGGGATCGATTGGTTCTTCCCTGCCGTCGTGCGGAATTTGCCGTCGTGGAATCTGCAGATTCTGCAGATTCCACACACGGCAAATTCCGCGGAAATGGAGTTTTGTAGTTCACGCAACCATCGCCGCCAAGGCGAGTCCCGTACGACGGGACGTTGGCGGCGGGTCAGCATGTGGACGGGAGCTACGCGAAGCGTGTCGCGTAGCGGTCATGCTGACCCCGCCGCCTGGGAAGGTATTTCGCAGGCTTTATCGTTTACTGTCGTGTCGCACTTGGTCAAAACTGACCGATACATAATACATATTGCGTTCAATGCATATAACTTATAAGCCTCTCCTGCAGCACATTGGATGTCCAATGTCTGTGTAGGCAATGTACTGTACAAAAACTTCTAGCGATCAACGATAACTAGATTACAATGGTGATGGATACGATATACAGCTAGGCGAAATGCATTCGCACGAGATTTCCTGTGTTGTTCTTGACGTGTGCAGCACAGAAATAACACAAAATGCTAGTACGCTAGGATAATTGAACTAATTGAGGCATCCTGCGCCCTGTTAAAACATCAAACTTATGCTGATACTTGAACTCATTCTAATCCTGGAATACTACACGGCTAATAACGTATGAAGAGACCTAACCACGATAACTTGTAGAGTCTGACGAACATGTATATCATCAACAACACAACGATCGTAAGAATTAGGACGAGCTGCCTTCAGAGGGAATCGTGAGAAAACAGGTGGTAACTCCATAACCAAAGTCGATCGATAGCCACTACTTGTCCAAAATCCATAGTTAGCGAGCTGTAACTTATAACAACACCACGTCCATTGTCGTACGTTCCGCTCCTCTGCGCGATGCTGTTCGGATGTCAAATGAGCACACCCCGACCTATATCTGAAAATAAATATCGAAGGGTGTGGGGTGCCTACCGCTAAGGGTCGATCTGGATGCCGACATAGGATGGCGACTAAAGCGAGCCGCTCGGACTCCTTGTCACTTGATCTGAATGTCCTGAAAAAGAATGCCTCTACTGATCACCGAAAGGGAGTCGATGACCCCAGGTAGCTTTGCATAAGTACAACTTCAATACTTCGGCTTGGGCAATAATGCACTAGTCTACTGGATGACTGTAGATCCATGGGATGCCTGTCAGGACAGTTATTTGTAGTATTTCTGTGTATCAGTGCATGATCCATGCACCCTTCGAACAACTTAAACGTTCGTTTTCGTAACTTTTTCTGTATACGATAAGTGTACCGAGTGACAACTGAGCCTCTGTGATGCGAGCAGCTTGAGCTAGGGAGCACGCTGAATGCTGCTCGAACTTTCGATATTAATCTCCTTGTGTTACTTCCGAATGCTCAGGATAGCTCTTACTTCGTACCTTATCGACCTGATACTTCACACCGGGTCACAACCTACCAGGGTCAGATTCCTTGAAGGACGCACTTGCGCTCACCAGCCCTGTCTGTAGCTTCCAAACAAGATTAAGCTGTTGCATCGGCTAGCAGAAACTGAAATGCGATAGCCTGGCTATCTCTCTGTTCTTTGACAGGGCGTCTTCAAAGCACCCGAGACTGGGTGCATTTACCTTGAGAGAAGAAAGAGGTTTCTTCTGCGGGCACAGCCATCTCTCTCAGAGACCCAAAGCAAACTGAAGCGAAGCAAGTATGCATAATGGGTTAATCCAAGACTTCTACGCAAAGGAGGCGTTCCATTAGATTGGGCCATAGAATGAGCTATTCTTTGACACACTGCAACCTCTCTCTCCGGATGTCACCGCCTCATTTCAGGTTTCTATTGCCGATTTTGCCTGACTGATGACTTACTTGATCACAGCATGAAATACTTCAACTCTTCATAAAGATGCATTATAGTGCATGCAAGTCCCACAGTTCGGGCGTATTGGACCTGCCTAAACTTTCCAACTACCCATGTGCTCGTCTGGTCATTTACTCATTTTGCACTTGTTCTAGGGCGGGCTGGGTGGGGATCAAACACGAAACGAAAGCCGGAATGGCGAAATACCTTCCCAGCCGGCGGGGTCAGCATGAACGCTACGCGACACGCTTCGCGTAGCTCCCGTCCACATGCTGACCCGCCGCCAACGTCCCGTCGTACGGGACTCGCCTTGGCGGCGATGGTTGCGTGAACTACAAAACTCCATTTCCGCGGAATTTGCCGACATGCAGAAATTGCGGACAAAGAAGCGATAGGGATCGATCGGTCCATCGGCATTTCTGCAAATTCCGCACTTCTGCATATTCCACGGTTTTTGAAATCGATAGACATATTTTCTTTTTCTGCAAGTTCCGCGGTTCCAGATTCCACACGTCTGCAAATTCCGCAGTTCTGCACATTCCGTGGTTCGGCATTTCTGCATCATGTATGAACGCAGCCTGAGAGCATAGTTGATTT